GCGCCGCCCCCCTACGCCGCGTCCGCCGCGCCCGGCTCCCACGCGCCTTGCGAGAGGCTCGCTGCGACGGCGCGGTCGGCCGCGCCCGCCGCGAGGTGCAGCTCGAGCGCCTCTGCGAGTCTCGCGGCGAGGACCGCCCCGCTCGGCTGGCACGCTGCCGCGGCCGGGCCGGCAGTCTCGGAGAGCGAGTAGCTCCGCCCGCGCGCCCGCGCGCCGCCCGCAACCTACGGCGTGAGTCCGCCGACAGGAGGGCGTGAAGACGTGGTCCTGTGCGGCGTACTCAGAGCACCGCGTGAGCACGAGGGGGATGCGAGCACAGTGAACACTGCGGAACACTGCGGAACACTGCGGAAGACGGCTGGGCCCGCGTCCTCTCGAGTGCTAGATATGGGGAGATACGGGGAGATATGGGGAGATATGGGGAGATATGGGGAGATATGGGGAGATACGGTGGAAGACGGCTGGGCCCGCGTCCTCTCGAGTGCTGGTGCGGGAGACATGAACATGTACTCCGCCTCTAGGCGCCTCGGCCCCTCCGTGCTGCCGGATGTGGGGAGATATGGGGGGAGATATGGGGGGAGATATGGGGGGAGATATGGGGAGATATGGGGAGATATGGGGAGATATGACCTCGACGACTCCGTTGCGGCGCGCCGTCTTGAGAACGCCGCTCAGCGCCCCGAGCTGCACACCGCCCCGCCCCCTGCCGCCGCCCTTGCCGCCGCCCTTGCCGCCGCCCCTGCCGCCGCCCCTGCCGCCGCCCTTGCCGCCGCCGCGTGTCTCGAGCGCCACTGTCGGGCAGAGGGGCTGCGCTCGCCTAATCTCGGCTAATCTCGGCTAATCTCGGCTAATCTCGGCTAATCTCGGCTAATCTCGCGCCACTGTCGGGCAGAGGGGCCGCGCTCGCCGTGCAAGCTCGGCGGTCGAGAGCGGCGCCTCGCCATCGGCAGCAGCGCGGCGCAGAGCGATCAGCACCGCCGCGGGCGCGCCAACCTCGCCGTGCGAGTCGAGCAGCTTGGGCACCCAAGATCGCTTGGCACGCACCACCCCCGCAGCGCGACCCGCAGCGGAACCCGCGGCGCCGGCGGCAACCTCCGCGGCACCCTCCGCGGCACCCTCGCTCGTCCCTCCGGCGTCGGCGGCCGCTGGGGCTGCACCGGTGGCGGCCGGCGGCTGCTCCGCTCCCCCGCGGCCGGCTGTCTGCCGTTGGCCCCGCGCCGGCGGTGCCTCTGCGCTCGCCGCCTCGTAGCTCTCTGCGCTGCCCGGCGCGTGCGCATACTCCTTCGCGAGCTGCCTCTTCGACTTCGCGACGGCAAAGCTGAGCGCCTGCGCCTCGGTGGCGCACTGCTCCCAGCTGTCGAAGCCCTGCCGGTTGCCCGTGCCGCCACGCTTGCCCCAGCTCCGCCACGCCACCACGCCGCACACTGCGACCGCCCACCACTTTCCCTCCTCGTCGTGCTGCAGCGCCGCGACCGGCCTGAGCGGCACCTCGCGCCGCAGCTGCTCAAAGCTCATCCACTGTCCAAGCAGCGAGGACAGCTTCTCACCCACAAACTTGACCTTCAGCGCCTCCTCACGGCTCGTCACCTCGGACGGGTGCGCAGAGAGCGAGGCGGCCGCCCGACGGAAGGTCTGAGCCTGCTGCGAGGAGTGGTCCGCGTCGGCGGCGGCCGAGTGCCACTGCCGTAGCTTGGCGACGAGCGCCTTGTTCGAAATGCTGGCTGGCATGAATTTGGTTGCGCGGTTGAGCAGCTGGGTTGAGAGTGAGAATAACGCACTGGAGCAGGGAATAGGACCGCCGCAAGCGGCGTGGCGTGGAGCGGTTGAGCATCCCTCCGGGGGGCCCTCTGCGCCGGGGAGGCGTTGTTGGAGGCTAGGACGCAAGCGTCCGTCGCCCTTTTCAAACTCGGGGACCACTCCGCTAGACCGCTACGCTCCGACCCGAATTTGGAGGGCCTAAAAGTTTAAGGTGTTGCTGCGCAAAACTACCGAGTCTCTCGACTAGCTGCCACGTTGCACCGAGAGCGGATCTCCTCCTGCTCCGCAAGGAGGGTGGCCAAGGCGAAAGTCTTGACTGAGCCGCCGGGCGCGTTGACGACTTGGAGAAGGTCGCCCTTGTACTTGTACTTGTAGAGATGCTCGAGGGGGTGCTTTGTGGGGCGGTGCGCAGCCAGGCCAGCAGTGAGGGGAGGCGCACCCTCACTCTCCTCGGTTGAAGAGCTCGTCGGAGGCTGCGTCACGACGGGAGGGTCGCGACAGCAGTCCTCGGGCGAGCCGACGCGCATGTCCAAAGCGCTGGGACTCGTTGTGACGGCAGACGCCGGCTGCCTCTCCAACCGCTTCTGCAGCGTCCTTCTTTGCCCGTGCATGGGCTCGATCCGATTCCGCAGCGTGTCGTCCCCAGCGGCGGTATTGCGCGGGAGGCGGCCGCGGGCACGCTGGGCTCGATCAGCGGCTTTCCCTCAGTTGCTCCGAAAGCACGGATTTGGCGGACGTTCTTGGCTTCAATTTTACGAATGTCTTGGCACCAGCTGAAGGCTTGCCCCCGCGTCCACGGCCCACATCACATGGTTTCTGCACGGTATTCGGATTTTGCTATTTGTTCGTGTGGGGGTATATTGCAGATTTGTCAATGGTACCGCGTCTGCGACGCGGGCGCCTTGCGGGCAGAGCCCTTAGCCACCCTTTATATCTATCTTGCGCGGTCAAAAGAAAAATTCGTGCACAGAATTTAACTCGGCCCGCAGGACTGGCGCGTGCTAGCACTGATACGAAACCACGACGACACACACCAGTCGACTCGATGAACGGCGGACTAGGTCTAGCCCTGGGTGAGCCGGGTTGTGACATGGTTACTTCCCCCAGGATTGGTCTTCTCTGCCTGCGGGAACACCCTCGGGCGGCCGGGTGGGGCTGCGGCTGGAGCTAGCATGGCTCGATAGAGCCGAGACCCCGTGTTGAGGCGGCGCTCCTGTGGGCGGCTGTGGAATCGGCAGATTCGACCTCAGATCTCCAGTATTCTCATCCCAGTGGATGGACGTCCGGACGTCCCTTTGTGTTCCTCTCCCCGTCCGCCAGCGAGACGCTCAGTCGCTGGCGGCCGCAGTTTTCTGTGAAGGAGGCTGCGCTGCGCAAGCACGGGCGGGAGGGGTTTCTCCTGCGGAGTCGTGCGTGCGCAGGGCTCCTCTTTGCTTTCTTCTACTCCCTACTATCATCTCGTTCCCGTCCTACCAGAGAATTGGCGATTCCGCGGCTTACTGGGTCCCTGAGCCGCTCCCCGTGTGCGATTATTGTGGCCCAGGCATGGTACTGATAGTAAACGGGTCAGAACCGGCCAAACACAGGCTACAGCCCCACACACGCGCCCGCCATAGCTCCTGGAGAGCATGCGCGAGTGACGCGCTACAAGCCGCGAGAGTGGCATCAGAGGCAGGAACGACGTGCTCTTGCTGCACCTCGCAGCTGCACCGGAGTGTGCTCGCAGTGTATGCCACGGCCGCCGCCTGCGGCATTGCTCTCGTGCAGCTAGGCGACGCAGGTCCATCAGCAGGGCTCATCCAATGCGAGCGCACATTGTGCGTAGCCGCGGGCAGGTGGCAGTGCACAGCCGCACACCGGCTGTGGCGGCTCGAATGCCCCCGGCAGTAATGCTGGTCATTAACCTGCGTATTGGGGCCGCAGCAGACTGCTGCTGTGGCAACAGCAGCAGCCTGCTGCTGCCTGATTCAGTCAAGCCAGCGGTGCAGCGAGGCGTGCAGAATTCGCGCGGTTTTGTCCCTCCTGAGGCTGAGCGCATTCGAGCCCGTCGACCGGAGTTGGATGGTACCACGCGTCTCACTGAGACGCGGGGTACTGGCCATGGCCGGGCTACGGAGCGTGAGGTGGCGAGCGGAGCGAGCGACAAAACAACGAGAAAAACACGGATCTGACGCGATGTCCAACGTCAGATCTGGCTCACCCAGGGCTGGACCTAGTCGGCGGAGCTATTCTCGGACTCGCGCCCACACCAGCCAGTCACACACCTGGCTCCAACGTGCAACGTGGGGGACACTACTAGGCCACGCAAGGCACCAGACGTTGCATGATTTATTTTTTCGTGTTTCCAGCGCGTGGTTTAAAGTCAGAAGTTCTGGGCTCTGAGTTATGCTGTTATGGGCGGACGGCGTGAAGTGGCGACGGAACCGAAAGCAAAACAAGAACATGCAAACGCACACCCGCACACGCCGGTCGTGTCAGGCTGCGCACTTCTTGCAAGGATCTTTGGGTTCAGTCGTTTGCAGTCAAGCGGATGCGGGCGTGCTAGGCGGCCACGCCTCGACCTTCTTGGGCAGCAGCTGGTTGGACAGGTCCTCTCCGTGGCCTAGGCGGGCGGCATCGCCCTTGCCCCACGTGAAGACGGCGCCGTCGGCAGTGAGGGCGATGCTGTGGGCCTCCCCAGTGGACACACCCACGACGCGCTGGCCAGCCAAGGCTTCGACCTTCTTCGGCAGCAGCTGGTCCTGCCGGTCGCCGTGGCCCAGCTTGCCTGAGCCTCCACCACCCCAGCTCCAGACGGCACCGTCGGTGGCGAGGGCGAGGCTGTGGTACCCTCCAGCCGACACAGCGACGATACGCCGCCTAGTTAAGGCCTCGATCTTCTTGGGCAGCAGCTGGTTCTGCTCGTCGCCGTGGCCCAGCTTGCCATTGCCTCCACCGCCCCAGCTCCAGACGCCGCCGTCGGCTGTGAGGGCGAGGCTGTGGTTGCCTCCAGCCGACACAGTGACGACGCGCTCGCCAGCCAAGGCCTCGATCTTCTTGGGCTGCCACTGGTGCTCCTCGTCGCCGTGGCCCAACCGACTTACCAGCCCACCTCCATAGCCCCAGCTCCAGACGGCGCCGTCGGCGGTGAGAGCGAGGCTGTGGTGCTGTCCAGCCGACACAGCGACGACGCGCTGACCCGCAAAGGCCTCGACCTTCTTCGGCAGCAGCTGGTTCTGCTGGTCGCCGTGGCCCAACCGGCCAACGTGTCCAAAGCCAAAGCTCCAAACTGCTCCGTCGGCGGTGAGGGCGAGGCTGTGCATCCACCCAGCCGACACAGCGACGACGCGCTGGTCAGCGAAGGCCTCGATCTTCTTGGGCAGCAGCCGGAGCTGCTGGTTGTCGTGGCCCAGCTGGCCATGGCCTCCCCAGCCCCAGCTCCAGACAGCGCCGTCGGCGGTGAGGGCGAGGCTGTGACTCTCTCCAGCCGACGCGCTCACGGCACGCTCGCCGCCCAGAGGAGAAGGGAGGCGGGTGGGCGTGTTGAGCCGCGTCACGCCCTCGCCGTGGCCAAGCAGCCCTCGGTAGTCGCCAAGCGGCGTCGAGCCGCACGACGAGAGCCGCCCCTCGCCGTCGATGAAGAGGCTGTGACGCTTGCCTGCCGCCGCCCTCGCCGGCGGGTTGGACTCGCACAGCAACGCAGCGAAGCACAGCCACCGCACGGCGCAGCTCTCGCCCTCTGGCTGCGCCAGCAGCTCGAAGCCGCGCTCTTGCGCCCACAAGCGGATGGCCTCCAGCGCAAGCGAGGCGTGGAAGAGCAGCGAGACGGCCGCGACGCGAGCGATGTCGGCGGGGCTGTTGCAGCGAGAGAGGGCGCGCACGAGAAGCTCCGTGGGGAGGTCGAGGAGGCGGGTGGGCGGCGGCGTGTCTGGCGAGGGAGCGGCGGTGGAAGCGGAGGCGAGGCGGCGCGAGCGGCGGCGCGGCAGGGCGGACATATATATTGTGTATCGGGAAAAAAGAATTTTTTCCGCGAGTCGAAAAGAAATTGACCAAATGCGCTCGCACACGCACCTCCAAGCGAGTGGCTCGACGAGCTACCCTTCGAGGTGGCTGCGGCGACCGCCCGGCTGCTCAAGCACCACGCGCGCTCCGGCGCGTGGGTCGAGCTCTCGCCCGGCAACCCTAGCCAGGCCTCACGCGCTGGCCGCGACCGCGACCGCTCGAGCCCGAACTGCCCGTCAGATATGTCGGAATTGTCGGAGAATAGCGACTAGCACACCTCTGAGTCCCAGAAACCCGAGGAGTCATACAGTCCACCTGTGTGATGCACGCCCTGCGAGCGGGGCGGGGTGCGCACTGTCCCTCTGTGTTCGTGTGCGTCGCCCATCTCTCCCTGGAGATGACTGCTCTATTTATTTATTTATACCTCCAAGTGCTCGTGTAGCCTTCGTAGGCAGCACGGGTGGGCCGCGAACGTGACAGGAGGGGGTCTGTCGCCACTGAGACGCGCGCAATGTGGGGCTTTTGGCCAAACTTTTTACTACGGTCTGAGTTCTCATTGCGGGCTCCAACCGCCAGGCTCGTTGAAGCGAAGCGAAAAGTACCCGTTGAGCCTCTGTGAATAGGCTCCCAGCGCCCGCCGCGCCGGGCTTGTACCGCGGTACGGCGCCGCTCGCTGAGCCCGCCAGAGCATGGCCGTTCGCGGCTAGCGTCTCTCCCGCGCGCGAGCGAAGCGCCCGCCCCCCCCCACCCCCCCCACCACCACCACAATCTCTCTCTCTCTCTCTCTCTCTCTCTCTCTCTCTCTCTCTCTCTCTCTCTCTCTCTCTCTCTCTCTCTCTCCCCCACCACCGCGCCCCCCCCGCAAGGCGCGCGATACACACCTACTCGAGTACCTCCACCTTTGCGGGGCCCTCTGGGGCGGTAAAAAAAACCGGATCTACCTACCTATTGCATAGGGGGCAGCCAGTGGCGGCAGACCCCTGTCTGGGTAGGAGCCGGAGGGAGCTCTCCCAAGAGACCTCGAGAGAGAGCAGGCTCCGGGCGCCTGATCTGTCCTCGGATCCCTACGCCCGGCTCTACGCCCTGCTGCCAGGGCCGGCGATGCGTCCCTTGCGTCCCTCTCGCTGCGCCGTGCTCGCGCTGATCGCCGCCGCCGCGCTCGCCGCCGCGGAGACCAGCGAGGCGAGCGCCCGGATGCAGGTGGAGATTGACGCTGCAGCTGGCTCCGCCGCGGCGGCGGCGCCCGACCCGCGGCTGAACGAGCACATGATGGGGCTCGCGGCCGAGATGTCCGACCAGCTCACCGACATCATGGCGTCGCTGCAGCACGGCTCAGACTCTGCGCGCGACGCGGCGGTCGCGCGCCTCGGCCAGCTCTCCATTGCGACGGCCGAGGCGGGCCGCGAACAGGCGCGCATGTTCCGTTCGGCAGTGGTGGTGGGAGGCGCACTGCCGGAGCTGGTGAGCATGCTCGGCTCGGAGCAGACGAGGAGGCAGGCGCTCGCGGCGGAGGCGATCCACACGCTCGCGATCGACGATCCCACCTCCGACGCGGACAACTTCCACTCGCTCGAGATCTGCCAGTCGGGCGCGGTGGCGCCGCTCGTCGCGATGCTCTCTTCGACGGACGAGGCGGCGCAGGCGGCCGCCACGGGCGCGCTCTCCTGCCTCGCCGAGAACCCCGTCTGCCAGCAGATGATTGCCGGCGCCGGCGCCCTCGCGCCGCTGATGAAGCTGACGCAGTACGGCTCCGACATGGGCAAGCTGTCTGCGATGGGCGCGCTCGACGTGCTCACGGTCAACAACCCGCTCGTGCAGCAGGAGCTGCTCACCGCCGGCGCGCCCAAGCTCCTCTCCGGCCTCGAGTCGATGGGCGCGCAGCTGCTGCGCGAGCAGGCGGGCTCCTTCGGCGCCCGGCTGCGCGACGAGAAGGCGGCGGCGGCGGCGCCGAAGCTCGACGAGGCGGCGCACGTGCGCGCGGCGCGCGACACGAGAATCAAGTACGACGGGCTGCGCCAGCGGGCCGTGCGGATGATGCAGGGCTGGGGCGACGAGCGCTCGACGCACCGGAGTGGCCGCTAAACCCCGTACACACACACAAACGTGAAACGAAAAACAGCAAAAGTCGAGGCGCGGCCTGCGAGCTGCGTGCAGCTGCAAGTATAATACAAAAACATGGTCAAAAAAACTGTTCAATTTTCAAAGGCAAAACACGACGCTCTGCGGTTGGTGGATGCATGCGCACCCCTCACACAGTCTGACAATATTTAAAGAGCCGTACCCCATTCCCCTCTCAAGTCTCAATATAGACCCGAGACGGGTCGCAGGCGTCGTACCGAGCGTGTCGAGACTAGTTGCAGTTCGGGTACACAACGACTAGTTACAGTTCGGGTACACAACGACATGGTCGGAATGTGGATCCATCTTCGTCTCTGTGAATTTGACTTTTGACCGCGGGTACTTTACTTTCATACAGGTGTGTACCTCACTTGAGCACTTGAGTCTTGAGCACTTGATAGGGTCGATTCCGCATGGTACGGGACCCCTCACATATACTGGACGTGTACGCTAAGACTCCCTTCGCGTTCTACATGTATCCCTCGATCGGATGTCCTTGCACAATGATGACGACTCGTTTTCTCCACCACCACCTGCCGGGAGATGTGCACGCGACACAGATAGATGAGTTGAGTCATGGGAGCCGGCTGGCAGGAGCCCACGAGGGCGCGCATGTGCAACGGCCAAAGCCACTCCTCAGCTGCGCGCCGGGCTCCGCGCCCGCCGCGTGCGTGTCGCCGAGGCCTGTTTGCCCGAGCTCGCGGCGCCGGCGCCCGCCGCACCACCGCCCTCCTGACTGCCCTCCTCGCGGAGGCGGGCGAGAAGCCGGTCGTTCGCCTTGAGCTGGTAGTAGAGCGTCTTCTTCTGGGCGTAGCACGCGCCGTCCGCCTCGAGGCTGTCGATGACCTCCTGCAGGAGGTGCGCGCGCTCCGCCTGGCAGCCGAGGTCGTTGTGCAGCCGTGTGAAGTGCACCTGCGGGGGGGGGGGGGGGGGGGGGCCCCTTCCCCCCAAAAGATTCTCCCCCCAGGGGGGGGGGGCGGTTTTTGTTGGAGGGCCAACCAAAGGGGGGAGGAACCACCCAAAGAGGATCCCCCCGGCCCCCCCTGGAAAGGGGAAAACCCCGGCCGGGAGGGCCCAAACCCCCCCAGGGGGGGGGGTTCCACCCCCTACTTCTCCAAAAGGGGGCCCCCCCCCCGGCCCAAAATCCCCCAAAAAAACCGCAGGGGCCCCCCCGTCAGGTCGCGCAGGCTGCGGATGTCGCGCCGGTGGCAGATGGCGAGGCAGTAGAGGTCCTTGACGGCGGTGTGGCCGCGCCAAGACGCCCGCAGCTGCGGGTCGGCGGTGCACGGCGGGTGCGACTTCCACTTTGTGTCGACGTTGAGCAGGAAGCCGGTCGGCTCGGCCGGGTCGTTGAAGAGCACGCGCTCCGCCTCCTTGCTCAGGTCGAGGCACTTGTCGATCCACGAGGTCGACTTTGGGTCGAGCGCGTCGATGTACGGCGCGACGGCGGCGTGGTACAGCGCCGCCGTCTCGGTGACAAAGACGCCGGGCTGCGGGCGCGACCGTGCAATCTGCTTCTCGCTCGCCGGCGCGATCACCTCGAGTGCAAAAGCGGGCCGCTTCCACAGCACCGAGGCCAGGGAGGCCGAGCCGCGGTAGTAGGCGTACTCAGCGCCGCTGTAGGACGAGAGCGACGTCTCGAGATGCGCAGCGACGTCTGAGCTGGCCCGGTCGACGGCCGAGATCTTTACCAGCGCCCGCTCTCCGGCCGGCTGCCACGAGAAGGCACCGAGCAGGACGGCATGGCCTTCGCCCTCGGAAAGCACCTCGCTCTGCTTGAAGGAGGAGAGATCGCGCAGCGAGGAGACGCCGCGTGCGCGCCGGAGCAGGTGGCGGATGGTGAGCGTGAGCGACACGACAGCCACAGTGAAGGTGGCGGCGTTCAGCGGGTTGTGTAGATCTAACATGCACATGCCCCCTCCAACTACAGAAAAGTACTTGATTGAGGGTTGGCCGCTGCTGTGTATCTCGAGACCTCGAGAGAAGGGCCCCGCAGACACGGATTGGGTAAAACGGAACTCTGTGCCCGACGGCAACGCGGGGCCGTCCGCGGCGCAGGCCTTCAGCGCCCGATGCGGCCCCCGCCATGGCTTGTCCTATGCGTGAGCCTCTATGGCGTAGCGCTTTTGCTGCCTCGACGATGCAGACGCCCCGCCGCCCTCCCCTTCGACTCCGCCGCTGGCACCAGGGGTATCCCGAGTGTGCGAGGACACGCCAGGTTGGGAACTTCTTGAGATTTATTGTCCGGCGGCAACATGTGATTGTGACTATATACGAACGATCCATTTTGCGGGGCAGCAAGTGTGCACTTCCGAGCTTGCCGCCGCCGGCATCCCACCAACGGGGACCAGCGGGACTCTATTCACGCACGAGTTTGGAAACCCCGAGCTCAACTGTTGCGGGTGCGGAAAGCAGGCTGGTACGAGCGTAAGCTCCACATGGCTTTGGGCGAATCAAACGTGCCCAGCCCTAGTCGCAGCGGGTGGTAGCCTGGACGCATGCCCTCGCTACCCTCTTGCCACGGCCGGGCTTGTGATGGATGGTGTCGAGGAGCTCTCCCCTGAGAAGATCACTCCTGGCTCGCAGTACCTATGTAATCTCAACTCTTGCAACTTCACTCGAGGCTTTTGGTGGTACAAGTCGCTAAATGTCTACCTCTTTGAGTGGCGCTCGGGCAACATCAGCGCAACGCCTGATGCCGCCACCTTGGTTTCTGGAGGCAAGGCTGGGATGGACGGCGTAGGAAAAGTGACGCTGTCAATGAACGCCAACGCAACGCTCTACTTTGTGGGTTGGCGCACTCTCGCGTGGGACGGTGCCGAGTTTCATGAGAGCGACCAATCAACCGTCCTGGTACGGACGGGCGATGGCGGGTTCCGACGCAACCGGGAGCAGCTGCCTGGGTCGCACCTGCACGGGCCGGATGCGGACCAGGAGTCCATCTACAGCGAGGTGGCTGTCCCCGTCCTTGAGTCCGTACTGCAGGGCTACAACGGCACGATCCTCGCATACGGCCAAACCGTGAGCGTGCTCCGCGAGCCGCCCCAGCCAGCGGGCCTGCTGCCGCCCACCGCAGTGTCGCTGCCTTCTGTAGGGGTCAGGGAAGACGTACACGCTACTCAATGGCGGGGGTGCTATTGCTCGCGCATCGAAGAGCGGGGGTGGTGGAAACTCGATGGCAGCCGTGGTTGCCTCCGCTGGCCTTGTGCCGCGGTTGGCGGCCGAGCTCTTCGTGGCCATCCAGTGCGACGTCCGCCACGTCTACAGCGTGTCAGCGAGCTTCTGCCAGATCTATAACGAGCAGGCGCGTCACGCAAAGGTGCGCGAAGCGCTCCCCGGCTCCACTTTATCATCTGTCGTTGCCCATAATTGCTGCAGGTTGATGACTTGTTGCGTCTGAAGAACAACAACCTCCGAATCAAGCCGAAGGGGGTCGGGACTGAGGTCGAAGGGCTGACGCGAACACGGTGCAACTCGGCCGAAGAGCTGCTGCAGCTCCTTGAGACCGGCCGTCGCAACATCATCTATGCCGAAACCAAAATGAACAAATCTTCATCGAGATCGCACGCCGTGCTGCAAATGTACGTGACGCGCCGCGCTAGGATACTCGAGGGCCTCGGATCAAACTCCGGCCTCAGCGCGAGCCTCCGCTTGGGCGGCGACGTTCAGGCGACGCAGCTTACAGGAAAGCTCTCTCTCGTTGATCTTGCCGGTTCCGAACGCGTAAAGCGATCGGGCGCCGACGAGGAGAAGACTGGCAAGCGAATGAAGGAGGCGATCAACATCAACACGTCCCTCCTCGGCCTGTCCAACGTGATGAAGGCCCTCGGCCAGGCCGCGAGCCACGTGCCGTACCGTGACTCCAAGCTGACGCATCTGCTCTCTGACTCGCTCGGCGGCAACTGCCGCACGTCGCTCATTGTCTGCGCGAGCCAGGCATCGCTCGATGCATCGGAGACTACAGGTGCCCTCGACTTCGGCGCACGCGCCATGCAAGTCAAGGTGAGTGCCACCGTCAACTCCACGACGGTGACTCTTGATGCCGCGGCCCTCGCAGACGACCTCTCGACGGCGATGCGCTTGCGTGCCGAGGGTGGCGTTGGAGGCCAGCTGCTGCAGCTGGAGGACCAACTGAGACAGCGTGAGGATGCCCTCGGAAAGCTCACGCGGCAAGTAGCCGAGGCCGCTGCCGGTCGCGAGCGCGATCGAGCCGCGGCGGCAGCTGCGGCCGAGCAGAGCAACGCGGCACACAACGCGATGGTTGCGGAGCTCGAGCGAAAATTAGCAGCAGAGAGCGCGGCCGCAGCGGCGGAGCGGCAGCGCGCCGAGGCCGCGGCCAAGCGTGCTGAGGTTGCCGAGGGTCGTGCGGCGAGCGCTGCTGCCGAGGCGGCGTCGCTCCAGGCTGAGCTGTCATCCAAGGCGCTTGCCGAGGCAACAGAGCACGATGGGGCACTCAAGGCGCTAGAAATGGCGTGTGCTGCTGAAGCGGCTGCCGCGACGGAGGCTCGGCACCAAGCGGCCGCTGCAGCCGCCGATGGCAAGGTGCTCATACAGCGATTGCGCGAAGCGAACGCAGAGGCAGGCAGGGCACAGGCAGCCGCAGCCGTGGCGTCAGCGGAGACACGCGCGGCACTCGCTGCTCTGCTCGATGCAGATGCCGAGGTGGCGGGCGGGTGCGAGGAGGCGGCTGCGCGCATCACCCTGCTGCAAGAGGCGTGCGAGCTGCAGTCAACCTTGCGTGCGAGCGCTGAGACGGATCTGAGCAGCTCCAAGGCTGCGTGCCGCCGCCTCGAAGAAGAGCGCGATCGCTCGGACGCCGCGTTGCAGAGGGCGGAGCTGGCGCGAGACGGTGAGCGCACCGAGACGCAGGAGCAAACAGCGGAGCTCATCCGCTCCCGCGATGAGCTCGAGGCGGCGGCTGAAGGGCTCCATGCTACGGTTGCGTCGTTGCAGGGCCAGCTCTCCAACGCCGAGGGACGCGCAGCCGAGGAGGCGGCCGCCCGGCTGGAGCAAGTGCAGAGCCTTCGACAGTCATACGACGAGGCACTCGCGAGGCTCGGCGTCTCGGAGGCCGAGGCCGAGGGGCTTCGCCAGCAATGCGACGAGGTATTGCGCGCCCTCGAGGAGTCGCGGCGCGCCCGGTTGGCGGAGGAGGCGACGCTGCGCACCGCGCTGGTGGAGCACGAGACGTCGCTCACCCGTGCGCTCGCCGATGCTCGTGCAAAGTCGAAGGCGCTCTCGGCGCTATTGGAGGCCCGCAAGGCGGAGAGTGAGCGGGCCGAGGGGCTCGCCAGCCGTGCGCACGCAGCGGAGGCGGCCTACGCTGCGAGCGAGGCGCGGGTGGGCGAGCTGGAGGCGTCGCTAGCTGGTGCGAGCGAGGAGCGAGCGCGGCTGCTTGAGGAGCTCGACGCGCTGACTATTGCGCGTGGCTTGGCTGACGGTCGGCTGACTGAGTCCGAGCTGGCGCGCGAAACAGAGGTGAGGAGCCTCGCCAGCTCTGCCGAGGCACGTGAAGCGGAGGCGCGGGCGTCGCTCGACGAGGCGCAGCGCACCGCTGCCGTCTACAAGCAGGAGCTCGAGGCAGCAGCGGCTGAGCAGCGGCGTTCCACCGAGGAGCTGCGCGCTCGGCTACAACGGGCGGCCCTCTTCGGTGCTGCGGCCGAGAAGCAGCGGCACGAACGGGCGGAGGCGGCGCGTGGCGTCGCGTCGGATGCCGCGTCGCGCGCCGCCCAAGCGCACGCGTCGTGGTCGGCCGCGCTGCACGCTCAAAAGACGGCGCTCTCGCGTGCGCTCGGCGACGCCAGAGCGGAGGAGATGCGCCACCTGCGCGAGATGCTGCTCACGGGTGTCTTGGCTGTCAAGCATGGCCGGAAGGGCAAGCCGCACCCGCGGCACATCCGGTGCGACCTGTCGCTCCGGCGGCTGGAGTGGGGTGCCTCAGCGGTGGCGCCCGCCGAGAAGTGCCTGCTAGCTGACGAGGTGGTCGCAATCACGCCCGGCCTGACGACCGACGTGGCGCGGCGAGGTGCGAAGGCGGGAAGCAAGGCGAGTGGCAAGGCCGGCGGGAGGGGCCGCAGCGCTGCGGACTTGCGCGACAACCTGTTCCTCTCTGTCGTCAGCCCCACCCGGACGCTCGACCTTGAGTTTCGGTCGGCAGAGCTACGTGATGCGTGGCTGGCCACTCTTCTCAAGTGGCGTGAGCACGTCGCTACCGGAGACCTCGCACCAACGCGGCGGCAAGTTCGAGCCAGCTCACCGTCGGTGGCTTCCCTGCGCTCCGATGGTGACGTCGCTTACATCCCCGGGCCACAGTCCGATGAAGTGGGCCTTACAAAGCGCCCGTCGAGCGCTGGCAAGCGCGCCCTGCAACGCGCAGCCTCAGCTGTCGCTGTGGGCGGAGGGACGGGCGGCTCGACCGGCTCGCCGCCACTTGGTCCTGCAAGGTCGGCCGACGTGGACGAGGCCATCGCGGAGGCTCTCGCAGAGTAAGCACGCCACGGCATACTGTCCGCTTACGGCGGGCGCGTCCGAGGTCCGTCCCGTAGATTGCAGATCTTTCGTTTGACCCGGCACGCACTTGGATGGACTTCTCTCGTATGATACATTAATAAACAAAGGACGCATGATCGCGACTGGTGACACGCGCCGGCTGCGGCTCGGCCTCTGATGGCTCGGCCTCGCGCGCCGGCCGCTCCGCGCTCGGGCTCGGTCCACTTCGTGTGGGTCAAGAGTTTGAGCGTGGTCTCTGTGCGAGTCTGGCCCGCCCTCAGAGTTCAGCCTTCGCGGGACACGTGTCGCACGAAGCCGCGCACGCCTTGTGCATGTAGCCTGAAGCGCACGGGAACCCGCTCAGCCAACGGCCTCTCTCTCGGCCTCACCGTCACTAGCGTGAGGAAACGCGCCCGGGTTAGCGTCGCACTCGCCCGCATCGGCCCACGCGCCGCACGCGTCGCTGTCGTCGGTACACGACCGCGGCGGTGGGGGCGGCGCGTGCACGGCGCTCGGGTCGGTGCCGTCGAGGCTATCGATCGAGGCCTAAAACAAGAAAACGAGTGAGAAAAAGAAATACCGAGCGGCAGCGAGGCTGTCGATCGAGGCCATCTGCGCGGCCGACAGGTCGAAGGCAAACAGGTCGAGCCCCTCCGCCATGTGGCGTCGCTTGGTGGAGCGAGGGATGACGGCGACGCCGTGCTGCAGCGCCCACCGCAGCGCCACCTGGGCGGTCGACCTTCCCACCTCGGCCGCCACCGCGCCCAGCACCGGGTGGCGCAGCACCGGGTTGACGCGCACGCCACGGCCGGCCCACTGCGTGCCGAGCGTCGAGTACGCCTGGAAGAGGATGCCGTGCGCTCGGCACACCTCCCGCAGAGGCCGCTCCTGGTGCAGCGGGTCCATCCAGCTCTGCACGATGTGCGGCGGCGTACGCGCAAACCCGAGCAGCTGCTGGAGCTCGTCGGGCGAAAAGTTGGACACGCCGAGCGCACGCACCTGGCCCTGCTCATAGAGCGACTCGAGGGCGCGCCACGACTCCCGCCAGGTGCCCTCGGGCTCGCGCCCGCCGCACAGGTCGCCAAAGCAGCGCGGGTAGTGCAGCAGAAACGCATCGATCGTCGACGTCTGCAGGTTGCGCAGCGACGCGGGGAACGCGCGGAGCGTGCTCTGCTCGCCGAGGTCCCGTGGGTGGAGCTTAGAGGTCAGGAACACAGCGGAGCGGTTCACGGACGACATGGCGAGCGCCACGCCCAGCTCCTCCTCGAGGTACCACTCGCTCGCCTGCGAGGTGTCGAACAGCGCGTAGCCGAGCTCGAGCGCCTCGCCCAGCGGCTTGCGGCCGATGCGGCCGGCGCAGCCGTAGCCGACGAGCGGCATTCGCACGCCATTCGACAGCAGCGCCGACGTGGCTTGCCGCGTCGGATCTGTGCGGCTACTCTCTCTCGCCATTCGTGTGCCGGAAGGGCTGGGGTGGGCGCGCTCGTGGCCGTGCTGGCCGAGATGTCGGGCTAACGAGTCCGTGTACCTAGGTACGACTTCTGTGCGAGGAGTACCCGGCGCCGGAGAGGGTCGAGGGACAGAGCTACAACCCGTGCTACGACAAGTACACGCCCCGCGCGCTCTTCGAGGGCATGCACAACGCGTGGACGCACTACCTCAACTCCCTCGTCCGGCTGCAGCGCATCTTCAAGCGGCTCAACGCGATCGGCAAGGCCGAGTTCCACATGCGCCATCCGCCGCCAGAGCCGGTGCGGCGAGAGATCGGCAACGGCGACGTCGATTACGACTACTCTATGCCGTCTCGCGTCTCCATCAACGGGACCGACTCGTTCATGGACATCAGCAGCTACAAGACGTTTGTGGAGTACAACACGGACTGGGGCGTGACGGCCGACGACCTCCTCCCTCCCCCGCTCTTTCGGCTCGTCCGACTTCATCGCAGGGGGACGGACGACGCCGGCTTTGATCTTGACGGCTACTGATCTCCATGATGGCCGACGACTCTCAATCGTTCTCCCTCTGGATCGACGAGTTGCTGACCGGTGTCGACGACGGCGGCGACGGTGGCGGCGGGCTCGGCGGCGGGCACGGTGGTGAGGGCGGTGGTGGCGGCGGTGGCGGCGGCGGCGGCGACGGCGACCATGGTTGTGACGACTTGCCATCAACCTCTTGCTTGACGACAGCCTCCTCGTCTCCCTTTACTCCGACCTCGACGCCGCTGCCGCCGCCGCCTCAAGCGTGCTGGGGTGGCCTCCTCATGGGCGACTCGCTGCACTGTACAACGCTCCTGACGGGCGGCGACTTCCGGCGCATGTTCTGCACGCGCTGCCTCGAGCGCGGCGTCACCTTCCCCGCCGATCGAGTGCGGATCTGGTGCGCTGCCGGCAGTGCGCCACCCGCAAACACAAGGAGCCACGCCTTTTGGACGAAGCGGCTCGAGGGCGGGCCGCGCTTTCGCGTGGCCAACAATACGTCTCGCTGCAAGGGCCCACCCCTGTTGATCTTCGAGCACCCAACGAACGATGCATCCCAGCCTCCGTCGGCGTTGGCGATGGGATGGCGGCTTGCGCCTGAAGGCTCCTCGCTCTCTCCTTCTCCCTCGGGGTGGCCGCCGGGGTGCCTGGCCGCCGTCCCGCCAGAGTACCTCTCCCTCGACGGCCGAAGCATCACGCTGCACGTCAGCAACTCGACCCTTACCCCGGGAAAGAGGCAGCACACGGCCGGCGAGAGCCTCAGGACGGACAACGCGATGCTCACGTTCGGGCGCGCGAGAGCCAGAATGCGGGATGGTACAGCGCCGAGTGCCGAGGGTTAGTGACACACTTCACAGCGTAGGCGGGTGAGCGACCTCATCGGGCTGGAGATGGCCTCCCTTGCCGGCGCCGCCTCCCTCCCCCTCGACGAGCAGCGGGCTCGCTTCGGCGGCACCGCTGCCGAGCGGTTCGCGCTCCTTCAGCGGCTTCGGGAGGCGCTGGTCGGCGAGTTGCAGGGCCTCCCGGTCGCAGAGCTGCAGGGCCTCCTCGATCGCGTCGAGGCGGAGCTTCTGGCGGGTGGCGGCGGCACAGCGGCCGGGAGCTTGCCCTCTCCTGCGCCGTCGCCCCCAGAGCCAACGGCAGCGCCGATGCTCGACTTGCTGGGCGCTTCGACCGCCACGAGCGGAGCCGCGCCGCCCTCGAAGCTGTCCGAACGACAGGTTTGCTCATCCGCACGCCTTGCAACTTTAATGCCGTGGCGGCCCCTGCCTGTTACCTACCTTGTTGAGCCGCAGGGCTTGCTCGACCACGTCTCGCTCCCGTTGTCCCGCTCCCTGCCTCCGGTGGCACAGCTCTCCCGGGGCGCCGCCCTCATGCAGCGGCACCGCGCTGCCCCGTGGCTCCCGTGGCTTTTGGTGCTCGTGCAGTTCGCGCTCGACGCGACCTTGTATGGTGCGCGCTCAGAGGGAGCCTTGAACGGTCAGGTCGGTCTGCCCCGAGACGCCACTCTCTCGCCGCAGGTCTCGCCGAGAACGGGTCGCTCGACGGTGGCGTGTTCGGCCACCGCACGTTACACGCAACTTCGCTCGGTGTTCTCGACTTCACCGGCGCCGGGTCGTGGGCGGGCGGCGAGGCTGAGGGCGCATCTCCTGCCGCCACTCTCGCCGCCACCGCCCTCGCCACCCTCGCCGCCACCGCCCTCGCCACCCTTGCCGCTTCCGCCCTCACAACCTCCGCCCTCTCCGCCGCCGCCCTTGCCGCCGCCGCCCTCGCCGCCTTCGCCCTCGCTGCCACCGCGCTCGCCGCTGCCGGACCGGGAGCGGCTGCCGCAACCACGTTTGACATAGCGGCCGTCTTCAGCGCGCGGCACTGGCGGCAGCTGCTGCCCCTCCCGGTGCGTTGCAGCGGGAAGAGACGCCGCTCACAGCCCGCAGCACTTGAGCGGTGCCCCTGCGGTGCCCCCTTTCCGCAGGTGTTCGCTGGTTCCCTCCTGGTGTGGCTGCCCCTGCTCGGGCCTCGGAGGGCCGCCTCGGACCCGCCGCCCCTCCCGCTCGTGCTTCTCTGGAGTGGTGACCCCCCCCCCCCCCCCCCCCGCTGCCTCCCCGAGTCCTCCCCCCGCCCCGCCTCTCCCCGCGCCCCTCCAAGGGAGCAGCTGTGGTGCCGATGCATATGAGGCTGAGAGTGTGTCCATACACATACACACACATATTCCCGCCAGCCGGTTCGGCCCCCGTTCACCCCCGTGCCCGACGGTGTGATCTCGCAGGCCTCGCCCTGGCCAAGCTGTGTACTCCGGACGCGGGCTTGCCGACCGAGCAGGTGCAAGGGGGTAGATCTAGCAACATAGCGCCGCACCTCTGTCCGCCTCTGCTACCTCTTGCTTGTGCCACCCCTGTGCCACCCCTGTGGGCTTGCCCCTCCGGAGACTTTGGCATGCCCAGACCTCACGCCCGTATCTCACCCGCATCTCTCGCCCGTGCGCACAGGAGGGCTCCTCCGTCGCCCGCGGTGTCGTGCAGGCCGACTGCCTCTTCCGCCTCGTCCTCGTGCTGGGGGTGGTGTCGCGCCGCATCGGCACGTGGGAGTGGGTGCGCCATCTCGGCACCCGCTCTCGGCGTCATCCCCGCTGTATCTGGGCAGCATCTCGGCCGCATGCCGGCACGCCGTTTAAGCCCCAACTCGCGGGAAAGTGGCGCACGTGTGGCCGCCTCTCCTCCCGCCCCTTCCCCCGCGCTCCCCTCGACCTGCGGCTACCTGATGTGCTAGGCACGAATCGCCTACATGAGCTACGGGCTCGCGACCGCCGCCGCGTCGGGATACGCCCTCCACTGCCTCCGCCGCAGCGGCGCGGATGTCGCGGCCGCCGCCTTCCCGCCCCTCGGCGGCTCGTTCGCCGGCTCGCTCTCCTCTACGCGTGCAACCAATATGATTCCCGATGACCAGCATTCGTCGAGAGCGATAGGCTCGCTCCTCTACGCGGCGACGGTGTTCCTGATCGGCGCCGCGTGGCTCTCGCCAAAGGCGCGCGTCATGCTGCACGGTCTTATCCTGAGTCGGGCGGCCAGCCGCCGCTTGAAGTCGAGCTTGAAGCGCGTCGACGCTTTGCTGCGCGACTACCGACAGCTCGTCCACAGCCGCACAGCGTGAAGCCCCGCGGCGAGAGCTACCCCTCACAACTCACTTGCGACATGGGTCCGAATTTGCGCCGCCGGCGCGCGTAGGTTTCTGAGTTGTGTTCTGTCAGCGTTTTTTCTTCTCGGACGTAAAAGCAGTCTAGACCTCCCACCTACCCCGCACCTCTATCTCGCCAAACCAGCGTTTTCTTCTTGCTTGTGCTGGAGGATGCGGTGACCGACGGCGAGCAATGAAACTCTCCGGCTACGACGACGCGTGCGGTCACCCACGCCGCCAGCGTCTAGCTCGTGAGTGAGCTCGTGTTGCTGGCAACTGCTGCGACCTCGTTGCTTGCGCCGTGTACACGCACGTGCGTGTGTGTGGTACACAATGGTAGTGGATGGATGGATGGATGAACAGTGAACAGAACTCTATGCACTGGCTACGGATCCTTTTTTGTTGCCAAGAAGTTTTTTGTTCCCGGCGGCACGGGACGCGGCCCAAACGGGGCACTGTTCTTCGTCGTTGGCGCTCGAGGCGTGCAAAGCGGTGTGCTCCAGCCTCCAAAATTGCAGAGCGATGGAGCATTGCGCCGGGAGCGGGTGTCAGGGAGAATGCCTGCTCTTCTCCTCCTCTGACTTTTGCGGAGGGTCGGTTTCGGTTCCCGCACAGCGAAATGAGCGACGCGGTAATAAAGCTCTGCGTGACATGCACATGCACGATCCCCACAAGGAACCCAGCACACGCCACACCCACACCGAATGACGTCGACGAGGATACCATTCGCGCGCCTGCCTAGAAGTTTACAGCGCTGAAAAGTCCGAGCTCCGACCGTGACTGACCAGGGATTCCGCCGCCGATTTTGATGAAGTTGAAGAGTCACCACGCAGTGCTCTTTTGGCCCCCGAGAACTTGTGGTCGAACTTCGAGCCATCCGATGGCGAAAAGCCCGTCCACGACTTGCGTGGCGACGGTTGTGACGGCCGAGTTCGTACGCAACCTGCACCGGCTGGCAGATACGTGGTCAGGCCCAATGCTCCCCTACATCGATTAGCACGTGGCGGAAACGATTAGCAATCGACACATCCGCACCGAACCCACCCTCAGCGGGGCCTCGACACAAGGTTCCGGCTGCAGCTGGCGTTGCTGGGAGACGGCATGCCGGCAGTAGTGCACTGAAGTCGTGTGCTGCACTGAGAGATTTGCGCGGTGGCGGAGAGTGTCTGGCGGTGCCGATGCTTGTGTTCTCTTTTCGGAGCTGGGGCTTTGGAGACTTTGGCCGGCTGGGCCACGGCGAGCAGGACCATTCGCAACCGAAGAAGATCGAAGCCTTTGCTGGCCGGCGCGTCGTCGCTGTGTCGGCTTCGATCGAGCATAGCCTCGCGCTCACCGCCGACGGCGCCGTCTGGAGCTGGGGTGGTGGAGGCTCTGGCCAGCTGGGCCACGGCGACCAGCAGCGCCAGCTGCTGCCGAAGAAGGTCGAGGCCTTTGCTGGCCAGTATGTCATCGCTGTGTCGGCTGGAGCATTTCACAGCATGGCAATCACCGCCGACGGCGCCGTCTGGAGCTGGGGCGGTGGATACATTGCCATGTTGGGCTATGGCGACCAGCAGCGCCAGCTGCTGCCCAAGAAGGTTGAGGCCCTTGCTGGCCAGCGCGTCGTCGCTGTGTCGGCTGGAGCATGGCACAGCCTCGTCATCACTTCCGACGGTGCCCTTGCGCTTCAGGCTACATGCACAAGGCGTGCGCGGCTTCGTGCGACACGCTGAACTCTGAGGGCGGGCCAGACTCACATAGACCTCGCTCAAACTCTTGAGACCCACCGAAGCACCGAGCCCGAGCCGCCGCGCGAGGCGAAGCCATCAGAGGCCGAGCCGCAGCCGGAGCGTGTCACATGTCTGTCACCAGTCGCGATCATGCGACTTTTGTTTCTTTAATGTGTTTCAACTATCAAGTCTCTCGAGAGGCCGGGGTGGTCTCAACGCACGCGACGCTCAACGGAGCGCGTACGAAGTGTTGTGGACTTTGGGTTTGGGGCCGAAAACAAATTTGCGAGCCTCCGTGGCCAGTGTTGTCGATTGTTTGGTCGGGAGTCCTCCCTTGAAAAAAGGCCTCTCCGTAAGAGCCACATACACCTGAAAAAGAGAAGATTCCGCGCGCGGGTGGGGGGGGGGGATATACAAAATGAACTCGGGGGGGGGACGAGGAGTCATCGCAACTGCAGGATGTGCTAACTCCGACTCCTTGCGGTCATGCCCGAGAGAGGCGAAGCCGGGGGTGGCGAGGGAGGCGGCGGCGACGGGGACGCTTTGCGCGAGCTCTTCAGATCGCTGGCCAGCAGCACAGCCGGTGACAGTCCCAGGGAGCGTCAGAGCCGCGCCGTTCTGCTGCGAAAGATGCTCGAGCGAGGCGTCTCTCCCGACGCCCGGGACCCTGACGACAAAGACCAGCCGACGCTGCTGATCTCAGCCGCCTACTATGTGGACCTGCCATTGGTGAGACTTCTGCTTGAGTCTGGTGCCGACGTGCACTTGACTGACGCCAGCGGCGGCACAGCTCTCATGAGCGCCGCGCTCACACTTTCCCTCAGCGAGAGCTCTCTCAGCGAGAGCTCTCTCAGCGAGAGTGCTGCGGCGGGAGAGGTTGTCGCTAGCCTGCTACGAGTTGGAGCCCGCCTACCAGCCGAGCTGCCGCCTGGCGCCGCCGATCGGGGTTGGGGTGCGCAGTGGACAGCTATGCACAAAAGCGTCTCGGAGGTGGCGTTTGTCGATGGCCCATTCCGCGATGCCGTGGCTCGAGGCCAACCCCGGATTCAGACTCCTCGTGGCGACGTCATCATGAAGGGCCAGAAGGGACACAGCCTGAGGCAGTTTCGAGCAGCCCCAGATGGCGGCCCGGACCTCGACAAACCATGGATGGAGCACATCTTGGGTGGGACAGCACAAGAGCGGGTGGTGGAGTTCCTGCAGCAGCACGAGCGGCAGGCTCGGCGGGAGGCGGCGGGAGCAGAGAGCCCCGCCAGCCGTCCCAGCGCCTCGAGCAGCGCCCTCGCCGTGATCCTCGCGCTGCTGCTCGTGACGGTCGTCTCTGGCTGGCGCGCGTGGCGGCAGCGGCGAGCACCCAGGAGGCAGAGAGGGAAGCAGCCCGCGGAGAGAGCGTTCCGGGAGCGGGCTAGGAGGCGGGCTGAAGCGAGGGCGACGGCGGCTGAAGCGAGGGCGACGGCGGCGGCGGCGGCAGCGGAATCCGCGGCGGCGGAGCAAGCAGAGGCAGACGGGAGGGAGGGAGAGGGGCAGCAGACTGGCGGTTCGCCCGACTGGGTCACCGTCCAGCATCTGCCGCAGACGTCGACGGCAGAGGGCTGGCAGGCGAGGGAGCCGCTCAGTGATCCGGCATCCGATGGAGCTAGCGAGGCGGGATTGGCGCACGGCGGTCGCTCCACCCCCTCAGCACCGCCTCACCCTGAGATCCTCTCGCTGGCGGCCGCTACCTTCGACACCGGCCGTCGAGACGCGCCCGAGTCCACAATAGGTGGCGAGACTACGTGTATCGTGTGCTTCACTAGGCCGAAGACGCACGCCGCTCTGCCGTGTGGCCACCAGTGTGTCTGCGGCCCCTGCTCCGCTCGGCTGCGAGCGTGCCCGTATTGCCGAACGCCAGCCGAGCGCTGGTGGCACGTGCGCGTGGTGTGATCGCCCATTCGGTCGCTCGGTCGCCTGGCGGCACATCCGGAAGTGCACCTGCAAACAGGGATTTCGGCTTTGCGCGGCGTCTCCCGCCCTCTAGCCCCTTCTTGGCTTTGGGACTCCTATTACCCGTAAGAGAAAAATAAATAAATAAATAAAAACGGACACCTCTCTACTGTGAGATGGGTAAAAAGGAACAGGCCCCCGCCCTTGCGATCTTTGTGCAGGGTTCTTTGTGGGTGTGGTCGGTAAGAGAAAAGAACGCGCCCCAGGATTTCTTTTGCCAGGTGAGAGCGAGTGGCGCGGTCACGCCTCGCCGACAACAGAGAGAAATGCGCGCTTCAAGGTGCAAGCGGGGGCTGCGAGCGACCGAAGAGAAACTAGGAATTCCTACGGCAGGGACGCCCACTAGAGCAGTCAGGCCCGGACTGGACACCAGCGCGGCATGGGTGGACGCGGGACCAGAGAAAGAATGGACACCAGCTCACGGGAGGCGGTTCTCCTCCGACGAGGACGGGGACGGTCCCTTCGAGGCCGCGGCCGAAGGCGTCATCAAGTTCGACTCGGACGAGCGGTGCATGGCGCAGATCACGTGGCCGACGGCGGCGGCGACGCCACAACAGTCAACACGTGCTCCACGCCTCTTCCTCCACGGCTGGCGGCCGCTCTCGGACGGTACAGGTTGGTCACCGCTTGGTTCTACCCTCGCGACTGGTACACCTTGTACTGGGATGGCAGCTCGGCCGACAAGGTCGCAAGGCGCGCTGTCTTCCCGACGCTCGAGCACGACGACTACGACCCCGGCCCCCTCGCAGAGCGCATCAGGCGCGACAAGCGCGAGCGGTCTGACCGCTCCTCCGACGACTCCTCCTCCTCCGACCAAGACTCATGCGGCTCCGGCTCTACTAGCGAGGCGAATGACATATTCGACACCCTCGACGAACGACCATCTCGGCTACGGTTCCGACTCCGGCTTCGGCTGGTAGTCGACAAGCTGCCGAGCCCTTATCACTGTGTGTGCCACATTTCTTGTTGGCTCCTAAAAATCTCTCTCTCTCTCTTAGACGCTTTATGGGGACCCGGCTCACCGCGCTGAAGAAGAAAACGCACCGTGCTGCAGGCGGTTCCTGCAGGCGTGCCACCCGGGCTGCCCCACACCATTCCTCCAAAAAAGCGCGCCGCAGCCGGTCGCGGCGGCGGCCGCGGCCGCGGCCGCGGCGACGGCGGCGACGGCGGCGACGGCGGCGACGGCGGCGGCGGCGGCGGCAAGCGCTCCAAGCCGTCCAAGCCCTCGAGCCGCGTGGACGAGCTCGCTGAGCGGTGGGCGGTGGGCAGTGACGGCGACGGCACCTTCGACGAGGCGCTCGTCGTGGACGTGTACGGCCGCTTCCTGGCGGGCGGGCGCAGCGGCCGCGGCCGCTCGGCCGACCTCTCCCGGCTCGAGCTGTCTGGCTACCTCGAGCGCTACCTCTGGCCGCACTTTGATGGCGAGAGCGCGAGTTGGGAGCACGTCATGTCCATCGTGGTGATGCTGAACGCCAAGTTCGGCGAGGGCGTCGATGGGTGGGCCGTGCTGCGCGCCGAGCGCGCCCGCTTCGACGCCTTCTTCGGCCGCGCGCTCGGGTTGCCGAGCGAGCGCGCCGAGATGCCGTGGCTGGAGCGCGCCGAGTGGGTCCGCTTCCTCGTGCGCGCCTTTGGCTCGCTCGAGGAGGAGATGGTGCGGGTGCAGGCGCTCAAGCTGGCGTCGCTGCCGATGTGGCTCACGCTCTCCGAGCGCGACGCCGCCTCCCGCCTCAAGGCCCAGCCCGCGCTCTCCCGCCCCTGGAAGTTTGTCAAGAAGCGGCGCACCAAGGAGGCGGCGTTGCCCTCTGGCCCGCCACTCTCGTCGCAGCGCGAGGAGAGCTTCCTGCCGTCGCTGCTGCGGCAGACGGTGGAGGCGCTCGCCCTCGCCGACGAGCGGGCGCGCGGCGCCGCCACCGAGGACGGCGTCGGCGGCGTCTACGACAAG